ATATGTGATATTTAAAATAATATTTTATAAATTTTTTTTCTATTTATAATATTATAATATTTAACATATTTAGAATAAGCCAAGAGTACAAATGTTTTTAGATAATAGATAGAGCGTAATTATTTTATTGTGGCTCGATAATAAAGTGTACACCGCTCTTCGCTGAAAGAACAGGAGATTTTTCGTCGAAAATAGGCGGAATCTGAGTCCGCGAATGGAGTTTGAACTTGTATTTCGACAGAAGACTCACGAGTCCAACCTTTGTTTGCATGTAGCCAAATCGCGTACCTGAAAATTAATGATTCCAATGTTTGAGATACTTGCAAAACATTTTTATAATAATTAACTTATTCTAAGTTAAAACAACTTTACTTAAATTTAATCTTAAAAATGTTTTTTGTATAAAAACAGAAAAAAATTATGCAACACAAAGTTAACAACTTATTAAGCATGAAAATAAGTAGCAATTAAAGTAGTTTAAACAATGGTTTAATACAAGGATCCCTTAATTTAATATGGTCAAACAGAGAGCATATCCTACAAGTGAAATTAAGAAAAAAGTATAACATGAAGTATGGTTGTAAATGCTTTACAAGATCATACATAAATATTGAAACCGAGCATAAAGTAAGAAACAATGGATTTTCCATTGCGCAGATTATAAAAGTACATTTTATGTATGAAAACGTGTTTATTTTATGTGTATATTTTTACATCATATTTACTACCTTTATACAATTCATTCCGATCATGTGTATAATTTTGCAATAAAACATTTATGATCAAACTTCATGTAACATTTTTTTTAATTTTCACTTGTAGAATATACACTGCTCAAAAAAATTATGGCATAGAAAAATTTTTGGCAGAAATTGGTCAACTTTGACTAACGGTAACTTCGCGAAAAATCATCGTAGAATGATAAACTTTTTTTCAAATAAAAGCTTAAAATTTCTTTAAGGTACTTTAATACTTTAAGGTACTGTAGGTCGATTTTAAATTTGATGCACCTCTGCAACTGTAAACTCTTAAATCTGAGAGCATGTTTGCCATACTGAAAATTGCAAGGTTTGATGGCATGCACGGACTTGCTAAAATTTTTCACGGAGATTCCTATAGTGCACATCGGGTAATCGCAACCATACATGAGAAAAATATAGGGATTACTTTAAAATGCTGTAACTTTGTGAAAAAAAATCGTAGCGACTTGTTTTTTTCTCAAATTAAAGAGAAAGGTTTGAACTTTATGACGCTGTAAATCTCTGAGAAAAATTTTGGCAAATCTGTGTATTCTGTCCAATTTTCTTATGTGGTCGGCATTACCCGATGTGCACTGATAGAGAGGTTGGCGATCGGATTTTGCACATTGTGCACGTGCGGGCGTGTAAAACATACACACATACACACACAATGTGCAGAATCTGATTGCCAACATCTGGTGCACATTGGGTAATGTCGACCATACATGAGTAAAATACAAGAATTACTTTCAAATGCTGTAACATTGGGAAAAAAACCGTAGCGACTTGTATTTTTTCAAATTAAAGAAAAAGGTTCAAACTTTTTGACGCTGCAAACCGCATCCCCGAGAAAAATTTCAGTAAATCCGTGCATTCTGTCAAACTTGTAATTTTCAGTATGACTAACATGCTCTCAGATTTAAAAGTTAACAGTAGCAGGGGTAAATTTAATTTAAAATCGACTTATAGTACTTTAAAGTAGAGATTTCAAGCTTTTATTTGAAAGAAAGTTCATCATCATACGATAATTTTTCGCGGAGTTACCGTTAACCAAAATTGACCAATTTTTGCCCAAAATTTTTCTATGCCATATAGCATTTAAAGTAACCCTTGTATTTTTTTTAGCAGTGTACTTTCGCAGTTTGGCCGTTCAATCCTGAGACATTCTGCATAAATAAAATGCATTAATGGCTCAATACATGTTCCTACCAATGCAGCTTCGTGGGCCTTCTCCAAATGGCAAATAAGCATAAGGATGTCTTTCTGCTACTTTGTCTGCATTAAATCGTTCGGGATCAAATTTATCTGGATCTGGATATATTGACGGATCTCGATGTAATCCAAGTACCGGTATAGTTATTA